CTGCACTTGTCTCTTTTTGCCCAGCATTTGTATATATAGTTTTGGGTGGGGATCTCAACCGTTTCAAAGTTATGACCCAGGGGTTAAGTCTGCAAGGGTGGGGCAAACCCTGGGGTCAATTCTAATATCATGACTGCATTCGTCTCTTTATGCCCAACAATTGTATATATAGTTTTGGGGTGGGGATCTTAACCATTTCGAAGTTATGACCCAGGGGTTAAGTCTCCAAGGGTGGGGCAGTCCCCAAGGCCATCCTGGAAGCATATGTGCATTCATCTCTTTATACTCAGCAATTGTCTATATGGTTATAGGTCGGGGATCTCAACTGTTTCCAAGCTGTGACTAAGAAACTAGGTCCCTAGGGGTTCGGTCAGACCCCAGGGTCTATTCTAATATCATGACTGCATTCGTCTCTTTATGCCCAGCATTTGTATATATAGTTTTGGGGTGGGGATCTCAACCGTTTTTAAGTTATGGCCCAAGGACTATGTTTCCAAGGGTGGGGCCAGACCCTAGGGCCATCCCGGAAGCAAATGTGCATTCTTCTCTTTATACTCAGCAATTGTATATGTGGTTATATGGTGGGTATCTCAACCATTTCCAGGCAATAAACTTTTTTTGGTCCCACCCCTTAGCCCGGGGGGTCAGCCCCACCATTTGTACAATTTTGAATCCCTGCCTCCCATGAATGCTTCCGACCAAATATGATCGATATCCATGGCATAGTTTTACAGAAGAAGTCGTTTATAGCAATCTAGCCAAATTGCCCCCTTTTGGCCCTGCCCTCAGCCCCCTGGGGGGTCAGCCCCACCATTTGTACAATTTTGAATCCCCACCACCTAGGGATGCTTCCAGTCTAATATGGTTGATATCCATCACTTAGTTCCAGAGAAGAAGTCGCTTAAAGCAATATAGCCAAATAACCCTTTTTGGCCCCGCCCCTCAGCCCCCTGGGGGGTCAGCCCCACCATTTGTACAATTTTGAATCCCCACCACCTAGGGATGCTTCCAGTCTAATATGGTTGATATCCATCACTTAGTTCCAGAGAAGAAGTCGCTTAAAGCAATATAGCCAAATAACCCTTTTTGGCCCCGCCCCTCAGCCCCCTGGGGGGTCAGCCCCACCATTTGTACAATTTTGAATCCCCACCACCTAGGGATGCTTCCAGTCTAATATGGTTGATATCCATCACTTAGTTCCAGAGAAGAAGTCGCTTAAAGCAATATAGCCAAATAACCCTTTTTGGCCCCGCCCCTCAGCCCCCTGGGGGGTCAGCCACACCATTTGTACAATTTTGAATCCCCACCACCTAGGAATGCTTCCAGTCTAATATGGTTGATATCCATCACTTAGTTCCAGAGAAGAAGTCGCTTTAAAGCAATATAGCCAAATAACCCTTTTTGGCCCCGCCCCTCAGCCCCCTGGGGGGTCAGCCACACCATTTGTACAATTTTGAATCCCTGCCTCCCATGAATGCTTTTGATTAAATATGATTGATATCCAGTGCATAGTTCTACAGAAGAAGTCGTTTATAGCAATCTAGCCAAATTGCCCCCTTTTTGGCCCCGCCCCTCAGCCCCCTGGGGGGTCAGCCCAACCATTTGTACAATTTTGAATCTCCACCACCTAGGGATGCTTCCAGTCAAATATGGTTGATATCCATCTCTTAGTTCCAGAGAAGAAGTCGCTTAAAGCAATATAGCCAAATTGCCCCCTTTTTGCCCCGCCCCTCAGCCCCCTGGGGGGTCAGCCCCACCATTTGTACAATTTTGATTCCCCACCACCTAAGGATGCTTCCAGTCAAATTTAGTAAAATTCCAATCAGTGGTTAAGAAGAAGAAGTCGTTTAAAGAAATTGTTGACGGACGGACGACGGACGGACGACGGACGACGGACGGACGACGGACGCCACGGTATGGCATAAGCTCACCTTGGTCCTTCGGACCCGGTGAGCTAAAAATGAAGTTTTAAAATCTCTGTTATCATTTGCCAATCACATTTGCGGACAAAAATAATTTTAAAATGATCTTTCTCTTGCTTTAATCCGATTAATTGAAAGTTTCACCTTTTCTTACCTTTATTACCACCTGTACAGGTAAATACTGAAACAACTTTAGAATTGAAAACGTTAAAATAAACTAGAGACAATAACAAACAATTTTCATATAACTTTTATCCACATATATAACAAAAACATTTCAAGTTATGCACATTTGAAAAATCAAGTAAATTAATTAATATTTCAATAATTAATTCAGCCTTGGGCCTAGGAATATTTTTGAGCCGGTCATTTCGTACCCATGTTTGTAAATCTTTTTTTTTGTACTTTGTTTTTTGTCATTTCGTAGCCATTGATTTTTTTAGCTAGCTATCTCTAGCGACATGAAACATTTGTTTTTTGTTATTTTCACCTTTAATGATAATAAAACATGTTGTTAAAATAATTCCTGTTTATTTCAAAGCAAATATTTTTAATCACAGACTGTTTTGTATGGTATTAGAATGATAAAGTTGATCAGAGAATAGAAATACAAATACAGTGGAACCCGCTTATTATGATATCCTATTTGCCAGAGAAAAATATCATAATAACCGATATATCATAATAACCGATATATCATAATAACCGATCAAGCTGTTTTCGATCGTTTTTATGTTGTCTGAACCGGTAGTGAGATGCCCTATATCAATCAGACATACATGTAGATTGATGTGGAAACATGGAAAATATAAATACAAAAAGATAAATCAATAATTGAAGTAATTTATTCATTGTTATTTATATCAGTGTGTTGGAAAAATACGAGAAGTTTTCGTTTTGCCGTAGCAATGATCAGTATGTAAATTCTACTTTCACTTTCAAATAACTTCGAGCATATTCCTGAGAACTATCTTTATACTAAATCCTACACTTGTAGCTAATGATATCGTCATGTTACAGTCAATAGGATGAAAGAAGTGATATAAATAGTCATGATTTACCTATTTTGCAACGGGAAGTTGTATAACATTTTTTCCTGTAAGCGTTAAAATATTTTGGCGCGCTATGTCAATTACGATCACGTGATAATCACATGCCTTGCAAGTCGTGCAGTGAAATCAACTTGCAAAGAAACAATAACAATTAAAAACACAATTATTAACAAAGTTGTTTACGACAACAACGTAAACTTTGGATTGATTTCCTGCACCATGCTGTCGGGGCGGTATGTCCCGAATTTGACACTTTTTCAACGGAATCACAGGAAAATCAACTTCTAATGCAATTAAAAAACTATTGCTCAAATGATTAAAAACACAGGTTTTCCTTCTTAAGTAATATTTTCATTGAAATCGGCATGATTTTCTCACATGCATGTCAAGGTAACCCTGAATATTTGTGAAAGGGATGCTCGTTTTCTTATCGGATTTTGTGTTCGGTAGGCCTAATTATTTTAATTTGATATACAGTCCTACAGCAATTAACTGCACCACATGTTTTGTCAAGACTAATATGTATGACCAGCAAGCGATGGTCGATCTATTGTGTTCCGCCGACTGGGGTGAAGCGAGGTGTGAAAAATTTATCTCAAGGTGGACAAATGATTACCTCGGACGATGTACAGTTAGTCGGACCTATTGCGTAATTGTCCAGGTGTTTCACACGGACAACTTACCTGAGTTTTTACCTTATATAATCCATTCACAACAGAAAAAATATCATAATAAGCGGGGTCCTATTTTTCACCATATTATAATAAACAATATATTTTTGCTTAGTTAAAGAAGGAAAAAATCGGTACATGAGAAAGATATCATAATAACCGATATATCATAATAATTTAATTTTGCCTATCTCCCCCATAATATTTTTTTTGGTATATATCGTATATACCTAAAAAGAAAAACAACTGATGACGGAACTACTTTTCACACTTCAGAATGCAAAATTACAACGCAGCATTTTTTTAGCGCAATTGTTTAGTTACGTAAAAATTAAATAAATCTTTAACTTTGCATTTACAACATGTTTGTCTACGTTTTTCTAAATTAAATTATAAAGAATGCCCAAGATTTTGTTTTGGTATATACGTATATACCAAAACAAAATCTTGGTCATTCCTTAAATAACATATATAATAAGTGGGTTCCACTGTATATCTATATAGTCTTTAAGACTTTATCATTGTAATGGGATTCGTGGTTCGATCTGTGAATCGTTAGACCCGACTCGTGGATCGGATTGGATCGCCACCAGCCTGGCAAGGATCGACACCGGGAATCAAACCTGTGATCCAATACTTCCTAGTCGGACGCTCTACCACTGAGCTAAAGGGAAATTCCCTCTAGCTTTAAGCTAAAAGGAGACCGTAATCCTATGTGCAATTAAGATCTGCTGCACATTGCATATAACAGAAAAAATATGAATTATGGATCCCTATATCATTTCCAAAAAAAATTGAACTACTTATTGGAAACTGTCTTTTCCGGCAAGACTATATATATATAGCTTTGATATCAATCATATCTGAAAATAAAACCATACCTTGTGTGACTTTTATGAAAAATAATTAAGATGAAATGAACAAAAAAACATCATCACCAACAATGTTCGGAGTGTAAAAAACTCAAAAGGCTAGACTGGGATTAGAAGCCTTGACTACACTATCTCTCTTACCAATTGAGCCACCTATAGTCAACAGAAGTCTCCTGGCCCGACTGTGCTACAGTAATATCCAAAACGCATGTATGTGGAGGTTATTGTATATATATATACAATGCAACCACAGTGCAATGGGACAGGGTATATAGCTCAAGCTTAGTCATACAATCATGTCATCGATATTGATTTGATGTATAATTAGAATAAAATGTCATGTACACCCAGATGATATACCTTAGCTTGTTAGAAAACCATGCTTAACTTAAATCTAAAGACGAGAATGTTTATAATTTACAAGTCATCAAAGCAAGTAAGAGGATCAAAAACCGGGTCACTGAGCACAAACTGAGATCTCACCTGGAGTGGTAGCTCGCTGGTTACACCCTAGAAACATCGCCGTAAGGAGATGAGGGTATGTCGTTTCCAACGCCTGACACAATCCATGGAAGGCTGAGTTTGGTTTGTCGGGTAGGATGTCCAGGAGTCTCTCGGCCCGCCCAGTTCGACTAGGCTGTTTGTTTATCTCGCTGATGTCATCTGGGTACACTACATTTTTGCTTTGCAAAATCGGCAACAGTTTTTCTACTTCTATGGCACTGAGAAATTTGGAGCGATGGAGACTGAGCAGTTCTTTATGTTTGCTTTCCATGATTCTATGAGAATCATATTCCAAAAATTTTAACTGCCATTAATTAGAGATATGAAATTTTCACAAACATCACCGTTCGCGAACTCCAAAACGTTCTCAGCCATCTTGCTTTCCAAACAATACAATCAGCTGGCAAATCATTTCCACAGTTTCGTACTTTTGCTACTAGTGTGTAATTATATTTGGGAAAAAAATGAAAATGGCAGCAAACAAAACTCTTCTTAATTGTCATGTCTTACATTAACAAATAACAATACTTCTCATACAAAATTACGAATGTTAGGCCAATATCAACAACTTTGTTTGATTCTGGCGGAATATTTCACGCACCTGCTATGAATCCCTCCAGGAGATTACGTCTGACACTTCAGGTTAATTAGTTGCAAGCCTTGACCGTATCAGCTTGAGCTATTGAACCAAAACATTTGTTTGCACATATTAGTAGTCACTAGTGATACCTATGCT